AGAAGTAAAGTATACTTCCTACTACTGCAAAGACGATTGGGAAGAAAAAAAAAACCTCTGTGGCTAAAATATCGAGACTAAGACCCCCGCTAATGTGGCCCAAATCTGATCCTTTCATTCCACATTTTAGCCACTTCTTTATATTTCTTGGAGTTCTTTTATTTGGTGTGTTTCTCCTGAGAAGACAACAAAGTTGGATTTGAATCGAGTGACGTCACTTTAGTTTTTAGGCATTTATCACAACTTTGCATTAGTGATGGCAACAGCTCTCACTATGGACAAAGGCTTTAACAGCACTGCTTAATGAAGGGTATAGTGGGGAAAAAGTATTCAACTATTCACCCTAGTTACATAAACCAAGATCAATGGATTTCACTCAATTGGCACTTTATTTTCTTATCTTCGCAAAGAGAGAACAGTTCATCCTACAGTCCTTACGGCACAGTATTCAGGCCTGTTCTGACTAGACACAGTTTCTTCCTTACTTATGTTGATGAAAAAAAAGTAAAGGTTGTGTCACATTCAAAACAAATTACACACACTTTAACAAACCTTGACAAACAATTTGGCTTGTCATCTGATTAAGTATGTTTTGTCTAAAACCACCCCTCACTCAGACATTTTCTCAGCCTTGCAGGTGAAACAAACTGAGTAAAAACATTTTCACTGGATAAATAGCACAACTAAATATATGAGGCCAGAGAAATCTAAATTTTCCAACCACAAGGGATATCAAAATGTTTGACCTTATTGATATATGGAGCCTCATCTCTAGTTAAGCCATATTGAGAGACTCGTATGGAAACATTTTGGATGAGGGTTGTAGCACACAGCTAGTCACCCTCAACATCCTGCCTGCGCCCTCCCATCTAAACCACTTTATGGAGAGTCATGTCTCGGTTGAAGTTGATCCATATTGGGAGATGTTTACCACTCTCACTGAACGGAGAGTAGATAGAAATAAACAAATTAGACTTAGAAACTTAGACAGATTTTATTTGTCATTTTGTTTACACAAGTGTAAAACAAAAAGAAATTTTGTTTGGAACAGCTCTTTGGACAATTTCATCTGTTTTTTAAAGTGCATCCTTGAAAAATAGTAAAAAATATATATATAATAAAATACAATACAATAACCCATTTTACAAAACATTCAGCAGTTAGTGGGGAAGAAACAAATAACAATAGAAAATAAAATAACAAAAATAACCTGAAATAACAGTATGTATTGTTTATCTACTGGTTTAGATTGACGAGGTACCTGAAGTTAATCCCAAACAAATTCTTTCCAGTTTGTTGTTGAAAATTCACAAAATAATGTAAAGTTTAGGAGTGTGGATACTTTTTTAGGGCAGAGTGATGCTTTAGTCAGTTGAGTGACTCTTCAGAAACAGACCAGTCATAAATTCAGCTCAGTGTGAATCTTTATTCCTCGTACATCCCTCTGTTTCTCCACTGGTCCTGCACTGCTGGCGCTCCTTTGTGTGGCTGAAGTGCTCACTTTAGCACAGCATCCCATCTCTTCTATAAAACATGATGTTTTTTTTCTTTCCTGACTCTGATCCTTCCATCTGTCTCAGTGAAACTAACGTAGACATGTGTAAAGAAGACATGAGGTGCTTTCAACACCCACATCTTCCAAAGCATGCTAATCGGCATAACAAGACGGCAGTCTTTCCATTTTTACAGTTCTCGGTGTGATAACACTGTATTTCCTAATAGATAAAAAGAATAACAAAACGTACCTGAGAACATTGTACATCTCTCAGAACCAAGGCTAAAAAGGGAATGCATTAAGATAAGCTAAAGAGAAAGAAACGGTAAAGGGGATAAATCACAAGTAAAGTAGGCCTTGTTTTCCTTTTGCTGCATAGTTTGTTAAAGATAAGAACCCTGAAACCAACTTTTATATTTTCTTTTTTTTTTTTTTGTTCACCATGGTTCCCTTTATCTTTAAATTCCTAATAAATTGCCAAGCAGCAGACATCGAATACACAAAACCTGGCACGTGCTCACATCCAGCCACGGAGGTCAGGCGCTTGTGTCAGTTTTCTAGGTTGCGCTGCTCATACATGTTCTCCTGAGTGGCAACACATTCAACACAGCTCCTATTGTTGGTTGTTAAATCTGGAGTATAACAAGAGAAGTCCATTAAACATTCAGGACTCATAGTCTCTAGAGATTCTTGTGACCTACTACAGAGTAGTCAGAGATGCACGTCTGACTGAAATAAGGTTTCCTAAAGTTAACTTAAACTTATTAGCATCAATCTAACATTGGTTTTTGGCTTTTAATGAATTCTTTACGTTTTCATTCTGTTTCCAGGCTGGAGGGATTTGAAAACAGCTTCGATAAATGATAAAAAAAAAAATCCATAACACAAGTTTAAAACCATATAGTTTATTATTATTACTATGTAGTATTTTTCTACGATGCTTTAGTAAAGCATAAACCCCTCTTGGATTTTCACCTATTTTGTTATGTTCCAGCCTAAAATAATTTTTTTTTTTTTTTTTCACATTTTATCTTATGAGATCAAGAAACACATTGAAGTAAAACGAAAAAATAATGCATACAGCATGAAAACCCCCTAAAGAAAAAGAAAACTGGCACTACCATATGCATCCACCTTCTTTGCTAAGAAGCCCCTGAAAAGTTCTAGTGAGAATTTACCTTTTCAAAGTCAGATAATTAGTGAAATTAAGTCCCCCTGTGTGCAAAAGTGTGACATGATTGTGTCAGTATAAACACACCTGTTCTGAAAGGCTCACTAGGCAAAGAGGCATCGCACCATGAAGAGCAAGAAGCTCTACAGACTAGTCAGGTTGGGGTTATATAAGGAAAATCCACTACCTGTGTCGTTTTACCATCATCTTTAAATGGAACATTACACCTGAATGTCTATAACAAACGTGCCAAAAGAAGGCAGCCTACAAAAATTCATAGACCTGAAAAGGAGGGAGAGAATTAATCAGAGAAGAAGCACAGAAGTGCAGAGTTCAACAGCAGAGACTGGAGTATCTTTCCACTGGAATCAAATGAACACACTGTAGGGGCTATAGCTGGGTTATATGAAAAAGTGTCTAGACGGCACGTTTTGAGTTGGCCTAAAGGTATGTATGTTGGCAGGTGTATGAAGGAATGTGCTCTGGTCAGATGAGAATAAGATTTAAGTGTTCAGCCACCAAAGAAAACACTGTCTGACTAAAAACTAGCAGCACCTCTCACCTCAAGAACACCATTTGCACGGTAAAACGTGGCGGTGGTAGCCCCATGCTATGGGTATGACTGGTCCTGGGTTCACCTTCAAAAGTTCCACGTTTGGCAGCCTTATTAGTTTTGATATAATCTGGTCTCAACTACATCTCCTTCAGCTTCTGCCACATTTCTGACTGACTGAATTGTAGTTTTTATAGACCTCTTCGGCTTGCAAGTGATTAACCCGCACTTTGGTCATTGTCAAAATTCATCATCTGAAGGCCAATTCCACAAGAACTTAGTGAGAAAGCGTTGGTCCTGAAAATGCTTTAGTCAACTGAAATTTCAACTTAGATGGGCGTGCCTCGATGGCGCATTGGTTGGCGCGCACGACTCATGTGCGGAGGCCTTGATCGTTGACGCGGCCGACCTTGGGTTTGGGTCCGACCACGTCCCCTTCCAAAAAAAAATTCAACTTAAAAAATCTCAAATGAAGGCAAAAACAGAAAAAAGTCTTCATGAAAATCTTACTTTTTTACGAGCTAAAAGTGATGGTCTAATGGCTCGCCGTCTTGTAGACCATCCTTCGTTACAGTCACATGCCCTTCTTGATCTTTGACCTTGGCAAAACCACAGTATTTAAATAATAGCTTCTACACATAATCCTTTACTGTGTCTGATTGAAGAATAGACGTTCCACCGACTGCTCCAACTGTTGGACCGCATTATTGTATTTCACAGACGTACCGCCGTTCAAGTTCCCTTAACAGTAGACTTACACCAAACGCCTCCTTAAAAAGCTGCAGTGTGCATCTTAAAAAGAACAGGAAATGTTTTGTTTATGTATCAAATCTTTGTTAATGTCATAAGGCGAATAATCTGTTACAAGGCTTCCTTGCTTTCTGCTCCTTGTTCTGCAGTATTACTTCGCTTGGTCAGAGAAAGTCTTTCCCATGAAGCTCAAAGGTCATTATCTCATGTATTCGGATATTTTGTTGCTCTTATTCTATAAATAAGATTGTCCTTTCAAAATTTTATTTTGATAGTATTCTACTCTAAGTTGCATACATTTTTTTTCCCATAATATTCTGTATATTGGCAATAAAGACTCGTTTACCTGGGCAGCAATGCTTTCATTTATTAGCTTTAAAGCCGAATGTTGGATTATAGACCCAAAGGTACTTCATTACAGCAGTACAGTTGCTAGGTTTGTTCCAGTGGTTGGATGTAGTGGAATAATTAATAGCTGACAGTATTCATTAGCTTAAAAAGTCACCTCGCACTGTTTTCCAGTCCATTTGTACTGAGGGAGTCACCTCCAAACTCCCAGTAAGCACCGTCACGCTTCTTATACCAGAAAAGCAGACAGACAGAATCCCACCTGGCATACTGTACGTGACGCGAATTAATTACAAAATCATTTCTGCCCTCTTAATGAATTAGGGGAGAGAATCAAGTGCTCAATTAAATGATTAGGTTCTGAGCTGCTGCAAAGTCTTTGCAAATTCCAGTCAAAGCCACAGCATTAGAAGCAATCTGCCTTGAACAGACCTGACCATTGTCCCTTTATCAGAAAGCTGAGTGTTAGCATTTTCCTATCAGCCAAGAGCTGGAACGGCATATGTTTCCCTTCTTCCTATTCGCTGTCACCCTTTTTCTTCCTCTCATCATTATTGTTAGAGCTCCACTGCATACACTGGCTTGTCCTTCATCTTAATTTGTCATTATTCGTTTCCCTTTTTTCCCCACCTGTCTCCTTCTCCTCTCTCATTTAGTCCTTTGCTCTGTTTTTCTCCCTGCAGGCCTCCAGGGAAAATGAGGGCTCCCAGGCCCAGCTGAAGGCACTGAGCCAGCAGACTGAGGCCGCCCGCAGGGAGCTGGGTGAAATACTACGTCGACTGACCCAGCGTGAAGAGGAGATCCACCGCAAGGACGTGGAGCTTTCGGAGACTCGGCAGCGCCAGTTGCTGCTTCAGCAGGAGATCCAGGAGGTGTGTGGTTTAACATCTACGAATAGCAAAGTTATTGTACTCCTCAACATTTATCATAAGTATGAAAACATTTCTGATGGGAATACACCAGGTCACTGTTAAAGGAGAAGTCTTGTCAGCAAGGGATAATCAATGGATCATTATCTATACCTAAAACGAATCTGTTCGTGGGGATTTAATGAATTTACGGTTAATCAGTAAGAAGAGAAAAATTATAATTTTCATCGCAATCACTGAGTCTCGGAGTGGCCATTTTTGCCCAAATATATTAATCATTATCTTCCGGAAGTGATGTCACAGTGGGGTAAGCCTAGCGCCATTCTCCCCGCTTTACAAGCAAAATCGTTCGTTGTTGGATTGCCAACTTGAAGAGGGAAGATTTGCCATTGAACTTCTAGACAGAGAAAAAAAATGTAATATGTAGCCAACATTTCGAAGAATGTTTTCAAGATGACTTGGGACTTCACTGTGACGTCACAAATCGGTAGTGGCAATAGTGTTCTTTGACAAACATGATGCCTCCGGTAAGCACATTCAAATGAAAATTACTCCTAATTAAAAACACTTATCATTTATTGAACAGTATGTAATAATTTCCTATTTAAAGCACTTCCAGAACTTTGAATTCTGAATATGACCAGACTTTTCCTTTCAATTGGACAGTGCATATTTTAGGCTCCGGCCCCATTTAAAGCCTGGATTTTAATAGGAGGGTTTTACTCGTCAGGATATGGTAACAGAATAATATATATATATATTCTCAGACTTCTTTTATATATATTCTCTAGAATTCTATTCTGTTACGTTGTCTAAAAACCCGTCCGTGGGTCTGACTGTCCATCCTTCTATCCCTTTGTTTCTCCATCCATCATCCTTTCCTGCCTGTTATCTTCTCAGTCTCCATCCATGAATCCTGATGATCTAAATATAATTCTGTTTTCACTTTTTAGAAATTGGTTAAACATACAGAGCAATGTGGAGTTAAGAAATTAAAATATAGAGAAATTTTAGATGCTCTTTTCATTAATTGTGAAATTTGAAGTACAGATCCAAACTGCTATTTAAAAACTTGGATTTTCATAGCAAACAGTGCAGAGCTTTAGCCTAAGCTGATAAAGTACTAACAACATCTTAACCCAAGGTAAGAGAGGCCTCAGCGGTCCTGGAACAAGAGGCTCAGCTCCAAACCTCCATCCAGGCGAGACTAAGAGAAGAGAAGCAGAGGCTGGAGGAACAAGCTGACAGTCAAGCCCGTCGTCTTCAGAGGGACCAGGACGCAAAAGCTGAACTCCAGGCCGCCTTGAAGCAGATGACTGACGCACACGCTCACCTATCCCAGCGGTTGTCCCAAGAGGATAACGCCAGAAAGGAGCTTCAGAAAGACAACTCTGAACTTCAGGCCAGGCTAACGTTGGTACAAGAGGAACGCTCTGCTCTGAGCCAGCAGCTGCAGTTGGAGAGAGAGGTCCATCAGAAGGAGCTGGAAAACATGAAGGCCACGATGAAAGACGACAGGATGAAGAAGGATTGGGAAGTCCAGGAAAGGCTCAAACTCTGCCAACAGGAAAGGGATGAAATAAAGGCACAGCTAAGAGAAGCTAAGGTAGGATCCTTTTTATGCACATAAAACAATTCTGCTTTGAAAGAAATACAAGTACATGATCTAAACTAGTAACAGTTTCATCATGGATAGCTGTTAGGTAGAGAAATAATAAAACAAAGTATGTAATCCTAATCAGATACCGATACCTGGGCTGAGCGCATTGGCCGATAACGATCCGATAAAACTGTATCCTGGGTTAGGGTTTTCCTACCATGTGAGTGAAAGGATTTAGATTTTACATAAACATTGTTAAAAAGGGTAAAAAACTAACACAGATATAACTTCATACCATTTTTTAACAGATAAGTAGAAAAAGGAAATAAATAACTACTCGATGTAAAGTGCAGAGGATAAGATCTCCGATATCAAACCACAGATACCTGATCTGGCTAATTAGTTCATATGGGAGGCGATATCTGATCCAGGTATTGTTTGAAGCATCTCTTCTTATAAATGTGGATTCAAAGAAGATCAACTTTTTTTTAGAAAGGTAACCATACCTTTTTTTTTATTGAGTGATGTTACAACATTTTTTTTCTGTTTTTATTTGGATATAAACCACAAAAGAATCCAGGAACTTAAATCATAGAAGCAATGAAGAAGCTCTGGTGGAGCTGCGCTTATCATGAACTCAGATGCGAGGCTCTGCTGACAGGCGAACCATTAGTGGTTTACTCTCCAAATCTGGTGTTTATAGCCAATAACTCTATGGAGAAAAGAGCAGACATATTGAAGAAGGTGCAGGAAGAAATCCACTAAAAGGTTTAATAGTGAGGTTCAGGTTAATCTTCCTGCAGAAAATCATCCACAGCTCAGTGGATGTGCTAGAATGGCCTAGTTAAAGTTCACTTCTTTAGGCATAAATATCCGTCTCTATCTTAGTTCTAAGCGTATGAATACTTTAAAGGCCCCGTAGCTTGTTAATCTGTACATTGTAAAGCAGGATTTCAGCTGTTTTCATTATTGGATGGAGGATGTAATCTTTCTCTCATTGATTCATGTCTACATGCCAAGCTACGCCTATTAAAGATAGATATTTAGTCTACACTCCAAAAGGTGGTTGTAATCTCTCAATCTGAGTCTTGTTAGGGAAATTATTTTGTATTTCTTCTGAAATTCTGATCAGGTCCTCTTTAAATCTCCTGTGCCTCCTTTTATATCTCAGCATGATGTTTCAGGTGTTGCACGTCCTGAATTTGTATAAATCTTCTTAAATGTCGGAAATCATTCACCGAGGAAAGACATTCTTTTCACCTCCCACCAAGGATGAGCATAGATGACAAAGTGCCGCACGCTTATTAACATTTGGAATATGATTGGCTCCCACTAAACATCTGGGATATTTCCGACCCAGTGACACAATGAAGAAATTCTCATCTAAACTAATTTTCCTTCGTCGGCTGGAGCTTTGTCCTCTGATACAACCAAGGATTGCTGAGCTTCCTAATGGCTCGTGGTGCCCCGCGGATCTTGGGGGCCGCGCCAAACCTCCGAGCGTGAATATTTAAAAACCCACATATCAGACCTCAGTAGTCTCATCAAGGCTGTGGCGGCGATAGCACCGTTCTACTTAACTCACTCCCCAGAATCCAGCCACCCTCCCTCTGTTCAATATCTCCAATGATGAGCCCTCCTGGGTAGAGCGTATCTTCAGGGGCATGGTCCTCCCTGATATGCTTGAGTTTAGCCCATTAGCTTTGCTGAATGGCATTAATATGTGACATAGCTCATTGTAATGGTGTCATTTCCAAGTGCAGGAAGGACAAGGGCATTTGCTGAAATGTTTTTAAAAACTTGCCTGAGGGTGCACCAGATGTCTCAAAACCCCCCTCCCCCTCCTTACACACCCCTATAACCCAATAGAGCACAGCCAGAAGCCTGTATTGCAATTGTGATACAGTCAACTGCCTGAAAAAGCTTAAAATATTCTAATTTCCTTGTCCTCTCACGTCTGATTTCCTCTCCACTCTGTCTTCCCTCTTGCTGCCTCCCTCTATCTTAATCCTTTTTTCTGCTCCCCTTCAATTCTAATTTGGTACTTCGCACTTCCAGCTCCAATTTTTTTTTTCTTCCTTTGTTTCATGTCCCTCCTATCTCTTCCCGTCCGTTGTTTCTGTTTTTCACAACGCTTTGCTTTAAAGTAAAGAGTTTTCATACCAAACTTTTCAGAAATGAGTGGACAGGCACAAAGCCTAGAGAACGAGAACAACTTCAGGGTACAACCCATAATAATTACATTTAGTTTGTTTGTTTGTTTTTTTCTTTACCATTAACAGCTGCAACAATTGCAACTTTAATCTGTTCTTCCAGAAGCATATTTCTTAGGTCAGACACTGATGTTGGATTAGAAGGTCAGATCTAGTTCAACCCCAAAGGTGTTCCGTTGTGTTTAGATGGATAATCTTCCCTCAACACATTGGCTGTTTCTAAATTCACAAGAATGCGAGTACGGACTCGTGCTCTCGCAAAGTACGTTCTTGATAAGAACACAGGAAAGTAGGGACTCTGGGAGAACGGGAGCATGCAGCAAAAATACGGGTCAATTGGAACAGAAACGTACTTGTGATGTCACCACACGCTCGCCTCATCTGGAGCTGCATTTCACCTCCTGCTATTGATAGTCTCTAGATAATAATAAATTCTAACTCTTTTTTTATTTAGTGGGGGAATAATAATGAACACAGTCAGATAAACACAAATCAAATGGACATTTTGTTAAATAAAACACAAATAAAATCGCCATCAGAGCCAGCTCTACTTCACACACGTCTATGCCGAGAGAGGGCTCCTGCAGACGGGCAACGTTAGCCTTTGCTGCCGTTAGCCTTGGAGGTCCATTGGTTGCTACGGTCTTCTCAACATCTGAACTTTTTTTCTATTACGCACTAAATCAGTAAATGGGCCATATAGTGAAGCTTAAAAGTATAATGTTCTCACCTCAAATGATATTAAAACATACTTTTATTGAACAACAGCAACAGAAAAGAGAACTTTTAACTTAATACTCTGAACTCTGTGAGCGCTGCATTGAAAGCTGCTACTGCCACAGTGCATGCTGGGATAGCTGTCAATCTCAAGAACAGACAAGTCTGCTCTGATGCATGCTGGGTAAAGAGGGAGGGGCGAGAACAACATTCGGGGACCTTGTCCGTTCTTGGTCTGCTGAATTGGAGCAATACTAGGGCTGAGGCTGATGACGTTCACAAGCACATGAGAATGCACAAGTACTCAGGTTTAGATACAGCCAATGTTGCTACCTCAATACTCTACCCCTGAGATCATCATAGTGGGCTCTGTCAGTTTTGCTCACTTCTAATTATTAATTTAGGGGCAACTTATAAAAATGGGGCTAAAAACAAATGCACACTAAAAAACCTCTGACTTATATTCAGTTAGATCAAAGGAGTCCTTCTTCACAATGATGAACTACTTTGTCTATCTGTAAAAGTTGAAAGAAGTTTGTTTTTTGTGACTGATGAAGTTCATTATGCACGACTGCTTTTGCGGAACGCATATTTTTTTCTTTTAACCGCTTCCACACAAATTGTAAGCTGCCTAAATTCAAGCTGAACAGCCTGGGCGATCTCGTCTGATTGCATGTTTATGCATCACAGCTCTGAAAACACATCCCTCCCCTCGCAGGCGGATGCGGCGTCGGACAAGGAGCTGTGTGCGGCACTGAACATCAAGTTGGACAGGATGAAGGATGAGTGTGATAAGCTGGTGGCGCAGCTGGGCACTAAAGACGAAGCACACTCTCTTCTCCAAAGAAAATACCAGCAACTCAAACAGGATCTGGAAGACAAAGTAAGCCAGGCTCTGCTGGGTTGTGTGTGTACTTTGTGTTTGTATATAGAGGCCATCCAGAAGCATCATATTGAAGTAAACATGTAGAAAAATAAAGAACTTTTCTTTCCTTCTTTCTTTATTTCCCTGAGTATGATTTGAGAAAGCGTCATCATCAGTGCGACCTCAGGAGTTTTAAGCAGCTAATGAAATATTGATGCCAGCTCACCTCCTCCACACAGACCTGAGAGGTTCTATGCAGCTTTTTTCAGGGCAGACATGTATCGATTTGAAATTGGTTAAGTGCAGAAATCAGGTTCCTATTCATGGAACATGAGAGGTTTATTATCTCAGCCAGGAGATAATGATTCATATTCCCCAGGCAGCACTGATCACCCAGGTTTCTGTCCTCTGACATATTGATTGGCTTTGTCCTGTTAGAGACGCTGAAATATTGCAGATACTAACCAAAAATAAAGACAAGTGCTGCACAGCGCCTAGATGGAAGTAGCTTTTACATATTTGACCATTGGTGTTTGCGTTCAGCCCACCTGAATCGTTCTTTTGAAGCTACAGCTTCAGTCATTTAGGTATGACTCCGAGACTACTGTTACCAAAGTAGGTTAAACCATTTTAATGTTGCTGTGTTTAATGTAGACCAACCAGATTTTAAATTCTTTTCTTTTAGCAATAGCATGTGTTTCGCTCCATAGTGATTTTATGGTGTTTCTTTAACTACGCTGGAAGATGCTTAAAGGCTCAGATGTTGTCTTATAACCCAACTCCAAAACTTTCTTCCTCTGCCGCCTCCTTTGCTCTTTTTTTCCCTATGTTGCTGTTTTTTTTCAATAAATATCCTATAACAAACCTCTGAGACCTTCAATGAACCGTTTGATTTATTGTGAGACCAGATCACACACAGGTGGGCTCTAGCTATAAGGGGCTGCTGAATGGGACTGGTTGTGGTCGACTATATCAGAATATTAAAGGCTCTTTCTTTCTCTCCTGTCTTTCTTTGCTGTGGATTTTTCTTACATTTTTATGTCTTTATTCCTCTCTTTTGCTCTTTTTTTTTCTTTTTCTCTGACTTTCTTTTTCTATCTCTTTCTTTCTTTCTTTGATAAGACACATCAAATCAATAACTTTTGGATGTATGTGTGCTTCAGTTTAATTTAATGGAGACTTATTCTATGTTTTGTGAAAATATTTCTAGTGTTGTGTGGAAGGAAAATGCTGGTTGCTAATAGTATTAGGAATTAGGAAAGTTATCACAGCTTTACATCAACCAAATGACTGATGTCTTCTACAGGTGAGATTAGGTGAGCGGAGACGCGTTTCTGAGTCGGAGCTTGCGAGGCTGGAAAAGAAGGTTTTGACAATGGAAGCTGACCAAGAAACGGTGCTTACTTCTCTTGGGGAAGAGCTTGATGCAGTCTGCCGTAGCCTGGCGAGGAATGGTGAAGACAAACTACAGGTATTACTACATGTTTACAACCCGTCCTTAACCACTTGTACCGTCCTGGAAGAGGATTGTTTCAGCTCCTATAATCCACCACTGGATTAGGATAAATTATGAAAGTCCACATACCATCAACCAGAGACAAAGAGCAAACTTATAGTTATTGCTTTTCAGTGTTTAGCTTGATAGAATTAAAGCTGTACAGATCTTATAATAATATATATGTATAATTATTTATTTTTATATATATATATATATATCCATAGCAGAATTGAATATATTCTTGGCTGCAGATTCAGAATCCACTTCTACAGTAGCGATAGATCATTTGATTTCTCCAGACGCTGCCCTTCAGTTTAAGAATCCAGGGAATATTTAGACTGGGATTGCCATGGACATTAATGAGAGGCATTCCTGTGTTATGGTTTGATTATGCCTCTTGTGTATTTTTGGTTGGATGCATAAAACTGTAACTGTGAAATATGTTGGCCTGTTTAATTACTCCCAGGTGGGGTTTCAAGTTATCTTTTGGCCTGTTTATCATAAGCGTGTTTTATTAGGACGAGGCATGGTTAAAAGTAGTGTGGTGGCTGAAGTAAGTAACATTACTATTTTACAATCATGATTATTATTTTCAACTTTTAAAGAAACTAATGCTCTTAATACTTGGCAAATGGTGCCCTGCGAAATTAGACAATTATGGTCATATACATGTCCTTCTCAAAATATTAGCATATTGTGATAAAGTTCATAATTTTCCATAATGTAATCATAAAACTTGAACATTCATATATTTAAGATTCATTGCACAGTAAATGAAATATTTCAGGTCTTTTATTGTCTTAATACGGATGATTTTGGCATACAGTTAATGAAAACCCAACATTCCTATCTCAGAAAATTAGCATATTTCATTTGACCAATAAAAGAAAAGTGTTCTTAATACAAAAAAAGTCAACCTTCAAATAATTATGTACAGTTATGCACTTAATACTTGGTGGGGAATCCTTTTGCAGAAATGACTGCTTCAATGCAGCGTGGCATGGAGGCAATCAGCCTGTAGCACTGCTGAGGTGTTATGGAGATCCAGCATGATTCCATAGCGGCCTTTAGCTCATCCAGATTGTTGGGTCTTGCGTCTCAACTTTCTCTTCACAATATTCCACAGATTCTCTATGGGGTTCAGGTCAGGAGAGTTGGCAGGCCAATTGAGCACAGTGATACCATGATCAGTAAACCATTTACCAGGGGTTTTGGCACTGTGAGCAGGTGCCAGGTCGTGCTGAAAAATGAAATCTTCATTTCCATACAGCTTTTCAGCAGATGGAAGCATGAAGTGCTCCAAAATCTCCTGATAGCTAGCTGCATTGACCCTGCTCTTGATAAAACACAGTTGACCAACAGCAGCAGCTGACATGGCACCCCAGACCATCACTGACTGTGGGTACTTGACACTGGACTTCTGGCATTTCCTTCTCCCCAGCCTTCCTCCAGACTCTGGTACCTTGATTTCCAAATTACATGTAAACCTGAGCAACAGTCTAGTGATGCTTTTCTGTAGCCCAGGTCAGGCGCCTCTGCCGCTGTTTCTGGTTCAAAAGTGGCCTGACCTGGGGAATGCAGCACCTGTAGCCCACTTCCTGCACACGCCTGTGCACAGTAGCTCTGGATGTTTCTACTCCAGACTCAGTCCACTGCTTCCGCAGCTCCCCCAAGGTCTGGAATCAGCCCTTCTCCATAATCTTCCTCAGGGTCTGGTCACCTCTTCTCGTTGTGCAGCGTTTTCTGCCAGACTTTTTCCTTCCCACAGACTTCCCACTGAGGTGCCTTGATACAGCACTCTGGGAACAGCCTATTGGTTCAGAAATATCTGTGTCATACCCTCTTGCTTTAGGGTGTCAGTGATGGACTTCTGGACAGCAGTCAGGTCGGCAGTCTTACCCATGATTGGGGTTAAAGTTATGAACCAGGCTGGGAGTTTTAAAGGCCTCAGGAATCTTTTGCAGGTGTTTAGAGTTAATTTGTTGATTCAGATGATTAGGTGCATAGCTCGTTTAGAGACCTTTTTCATTATATGCTAATTTTCGAGATAGAGAATTTTGGGTTTTCATGAGCTGTATGCCTAGATCATCCGTATTAAGACAAGACAAGACCTGAAATATTTCAGTTAGTGTGTAATGAATCTAAAATATATGAATGTTCAAGTTTTATCATTGCATTATGGAAAATAATGAACTTTATCACAATATGCTAATATTTTGAGAAGGACCTGTACATGGTTCAAACACACATTGTCTTAAATACTTGCACCTAGCCTTCCAAACCTGCTAAACACTAATGAATCCTGCCTGTTCTCATCTGTCCTCATGGATTTCTCGTTCTGGTCCAGTGGTGATGCAGTCGGACACGTGCCAACACCTTACCTTGTCTCTAATCCATCAAGACGTCAAACCTACAAGTGATCGGCTTAATGAGGGATAATAACAGAAAAGAGGTTTAGAAGAAATAGGTTTCCTCTTTAGAGCCTCCAGTTGGGCACCATGATGATAATTATAGGAAAACCACCAAACACTGAACGTAGAAAAATGGGGGACACAGTAAATGGTTGCTGATGAGTGCAGTTGTGTGCAATGTTCCTCAAATGTTTGATGTTTATGGGTATATATGTAACCCACCCAGTACACTGAGTACACTGTGCATGCTGAGGCCGTGTTTATTACAAGTTTAAAATCAGCTTATAACAATAATAAACTTGTTACAAACCAGTGATCATAGCAAGTTACATCGTTTATTAAAATAATAAGAGGTTACAACAGTCATTTCCATTAATCTACTTTAAGTTGAAGTGATTGGGGCAACTTAAAATGAAAAACAGAGAAACGTCATGAGATGTATTATGTTACATGTAAGAGTTCAGCTTTGCCCAGGATGGCAGTCCTGCTCTGGAAGAAAAGAGACGTTTTACCCTTTAAAGGTTTTAGTTCACATTAAAGCATTCACATTCTGCAAATGTGCGCTGTAGCCTGTGACACAGTTTAAATTCCTGTTACTCTTTGTCTTTATGTCTTTAATTACATTGTTTTTTTAGCATTTCTGCTTTAAATTGTATAAGGGTTTAAGCATTTCATGAATAATATCCAAAGATAAAAATACCTGCATTCTCCATTCAAGATCCATTTAGGAGGGAGTGGTGGCCTAGTGGTTAGAGCATTGCGCACAGGTCTCAGATGTTCTGAGTTCAAGTCCCACACACTCCCACTGAATGCCACTCACAATGACATCCCACTGCTCCCTAAGGGGATGGGTTAAATGCAGAGAGTTCATTTCGTTGCTTTGTGCTTGTGACAGTGTTATGAAAATAAAGTTGAATTCTAACTCTAAGGGTAAAGAAAATAAGGAATATCACCACCATACATTACATTGCATCTGTTTTTCACATTTTTCCCTTCTCACTTCTGATATGGTTCTCAAAATATGCCACTTCAGGATGATTTCTGGATGTTTGTGCTACTTTTCATGTTTATTTAAGCACAAACATCCAGAAGCTGTGACATCCGCTTTAGCTCCTCACATCTAAGTGCTGCAGCCACCGTATCTGAGAATGTGCTAATTGATTGATTTATGTTTTTGCTTCATTATGTACTTGAATTGAGCAAAAAAAGCAAAACAAAAAAAAAGCAGAGCATTACGCTGTGCAGTGAACAGGTACGTCTTTATCTGTGTGCATTTTGGATAGCTGTTAAAAACCGTTGAGTTTCATTGTTTTGGAAGCCTTAAATGATAAATAATTTGGGCCTCCACACATTCTTCTTCCTGCTGGATCATTTATTTATGCATCCGAGTGGTTTTTGATGCACTGAATAAGGACATTTATTTAACTTTTTTAATCATATTCATCCAAATACAACTCTTAAATGTATTCATATTATTTATAAAACTGATTAGATAGTAATATTTGAAACTGGGATTGAGGAGTAAATCGTGTGCCAGACAGCTGCACATCCAAGAGGTAATAACATATTAAAGAGATGCTATAAGAATTGGAAACTAAATAAAAATAAGATAAATGGATTTCCTATTAATTTTCTTTATATATCTTTATTTAATTTAGTATTGCAAGCAAAAATAACTGTTGTCTATTTCTATATAATGTAATGAAATTCGGGGGAAAAGCAGAAGCAGTTTGAATAAGGAGTGTTACATGGAGGGAACATTGGTTGTGTGTCAGAAAAAATATTTTCTGATTAAAAAGGTTGTTATATAGTTGAGTGGCGTGGAATTATATTTTTTACCTAAGAATCACGATTATTATATTATGTCAAAGACTTCTGATTATACATACAATCATCCTGAAGCCTCCACATTATTTTTGTTTTCTCCTTATCTATCCTCTAGTGTGGATTTATGTCAGTTGGATTCTAGTTAGACCAGCTAGTCTGTACTACAGTGAGACAGCCCATAACAGATCACACTTTACATAAAGAATGTGGCGGCATGCATCCTGATAGTTGATTCTTTTTGCATTTCAGGATTTAAAGTCACTAAAAGATAAACGGCTACAATCAGGCTCTTTATATTCCAAAATTGAACCTTATTTGAAAAGATACTTAATGCTTTCATCTTGCAATTTAATGAAAATGATGGGTTTATTTTAAATAACTAATCACGTGTCTTCTTTCTACACTAGCTTCACAGTTCATCAGTAAATGACAGGTTTCACATGGGATTGTGAAGAAATTTAGGTCTGTAATACACTAAAGGTGTCTGGTTAAACTGACAGGCTGATTAAACTTGGGAACTCTGGTGGAGCTGCAGAGATCTGAACCTCATGTGTTAGATTAAATTGACAGAGCAGCTTTTTGTCCTGCAGTCTAAAAATGTGGGCTTTTTATGGAATTATGTCAAGAATAGAGGTGTGGAAAAAGCTGCTCTGGTCTGCAGGGTCCAAACAGAGGTCCTATTTGGCCTTCATGCTAAACACTCCAGGTTGAACACCCCACTTTGACAGGGAGGTATGGCGTTTGCAGCATCATGATGAGGGGACACTTTCCTTCAGAAGGCTGCAAAGGGGCATTTCTAAAAAGAAAACCTGATAGAAGCAGCAAAAGAATGAAACAGGTGAGGGGTTCACCTTTCATCAGGACAAAATCCCTTAAAATACAACAAGAGTTGCAATAAAGCATAATGAATGCATCAATTGTGCAGGACTAACATGACAGAATGAGAGAAATAACACAAGTGAATCCTCTGCATCATTTTACCTCATGCACCTTTTTCTTTCCAGGATCTACTTCCTTTCTCTGTGTTCTCTTTCATTTCTACTGACTTCTTTTGTCAGATGATTAGTGAAGATATGGAGATCTCTTGGATAATTTCCTTCTTTAACATCTTCACTTGCTCGCTTGTTAGTTTGAGCAGTTTCCCCCCATCTGTTTCCATCTCAACGTTCCCTATCTCTTTCCATTTTCCCAGTGGGAGGTGAAACAAACATATGGCTTCCAAAAAAAAACAAAAAAACACCACATTCCCCCGCGCTCTAGAAGAAGCAAAAACCAGGCAGTGTTATATTTAAAGTACAGGTAGCGAAGCCTCAGATTTCATGGCAGTTCTGCTTTAAAAAAAGGAATAAAAATATTGTGGTGATATTTTTTTCCCCACTTTCAAGCCCTCAGACAGCACTTTTAACTCCCTGCCTACTTGTTACGTTTCTCAGCGGTTTCACCTCCTGTTTGTCTGCCGCGGAGCCAAACAGGCTTTGATGGTTTGAGGAAAAGTTAAGAGAGCGTGCGAGAAGCTGCGACATGTCTCATCCTCCCACGCGGTCACATGCTCTGACGTATGGCTGTTCTCTCCCAGAGAAAGAGGCCTTTGCACAGCTGTGAGCCAGTCTGAGGCACCAAAGCAGAGAGCCTTGAGGAATTCATCCTGCCTGTTTTCGATTGACAGTAGAAGAAAGGCTCTTTAATCCTGAGCAACAGCATTGTTGTCTGCTACAGCTCAGGACAGAGTGGCTCAAGAAAAAATCTGCACTTTATCTTCACGGTTTAGAAACACCTTGTCACAAAGTTGTATTCAGATATTTAGATCAATATGCTCCTGTATTATGTATTACTCTATTAAAATGAAGCTATAGAAGCATGTGTTTTGCTTCTAGGAACAGCCTACAGATCAATCCTAGCTTACATAAATCTGGATCTAAGCTTTAGAATATAGGTTGACATAATTAAAAACATTGATTTAAATAATTAATAATAATTGAACTTTTTTATTGATCTCACATTGGAGAAATCTACCTCTGCATTTAATCCATCCTCTTGGGGAGCAGTGGGCTGCCCTCGTGGGGCTCCCAGGGAGCAGTGTGGGGATAAGGGTCTTGTTCATAGACCCAAAATGGCAGTCTGTGGGAGTGGGGTTCGAACTCACAACCTAAAGATTCCAAGCTTTATGCCCCAATCACTCCCCAAAATGATTATATGCTGCAAATAATGATACAATAATATACACACATGTAGTTAAGTTACCTATTCTTACACTTTGGGTTTATTATTATTGTGTTACCTGTAAAATAAACAACAAAAAAAGAAAAATTAAACACATCCAGTTGTTTTCCCTCCCAGTGTTTGGAAGTGAGAGGCGTGTTCTCTGCCATCAGCAGCAGAGCTTTTAGTGTCCTAGCCATTGTTGCCACATTCAATTATTTGAGAGCAGGATTTTCCGCCTTAGCTTCTGTCCACATATATCTATCTGCCCTAGATTTCAGTCCATTTCTCTCCTGCTGAAAACAGTCCGTTGATTAGTAAACATCCTTCAGCGACTCGAATCAGATCCTGTGGTATGAAAATGCTACAAAAGCGCTGTACAGAGAAAGGAGTAATGCAGCCATGCTTACATATGCTAACAATATTGTAAAAGCTTGTTTTAATTGTGACCTAAATGTGCACAAAATAATTATAGTATCGTAGTAATTCTTGACAGAGGTTATCCAAGTGTGATGAGGTCAAATTATAACTGCAAATGTAATATTTGTAATATTTCTCTACATCTTATTCAGATTTCCTACCCTGGTTGCTATAAGTAAAAGTGCTAGAAGAACAATTGAAAACAAGTAACATGTAGCAGCATAGTGGTGTGAGATTTTTTTTTTTTTGCTGTTTTCTTACACTACCAGTAATTACATTCTAGCTACATGGTGTCTTTACCTCTCTTGCTCACACTTATGTATTTGTGAGCTGCTGTGTGGCTCCTTAGATGTTTGAATGCATGCTGTGTTTTGATTATCACTGTAGCTCTCGGATTCAGTCTGTTTCACCTCGTATCAGGGAAGAATCAGACAGGCAAAACATGCTGCTGCCTTTTCTTACTTTTTTTTTTACAGTGATTTATTGGCTAAAATGTAGCTAAAATCTAAAGACAGAGGCACTAAGTTGTAACCCAATAAGTTTTCCTCTGGCTCCTGATCACGTATTGATTTAGTGTCTTTGGGTTAACATGGGGCCAATGCAACATTCAAGTGTGTTTTTGTGCCGGAGAGAGGGAGGAGTTGGGAATCAATATGTTGCCCGCAGCAGAGAAAAACTCAACTTTTATAGTTTGAGTAGATGGAAAATTACAAATTGAATGTGAATGGATCACGAACTATAGCTGGACTGCCAGCTAAGTTTCATTTAAGGTAAGGAAAGAAGAGACAGAAAACATGTAATGAGAATTCAGAGATGAAGAAAGCGTAGATTTGGGTTGGCTGAAGGGTTAGTTTCAAATAATGGAGATGAGGGTGACCTTTGTCAATGTATGACTTATAATGCTTGCATTTGTGTTAAATACTATGCCTAGAAAAAAAGACCGCATATATTTATTTTCAAATAAAACAATGTTTGCCAACAATTCGTCCTGATAGTGTTTAATTAGTTCTTTTTTAACCTGAAAAGAATTTTTGCGCAATAAAAGATCAATGGATATAAACTTTATTTGCTATTTCTGTCTTTTGGAAGCATTAACTCACAATTCTATCTACTAGGCAACTTCTGAAGCTTTAGCTCGCACTTCAGTGAACACTAGAGTTCATATTATATTTTGGGTGCTACTTTTTAGTTATCCCTCATGGCATCAAATATGGTTTTTGGGCTTGGCTACATTACTTCCTTGTTTACTTGTGCATAGTATTGTCCCTCATGTCACATGTTTTTTTTTTATTGTAGACCAAGTGAGGGCGACCAAGTGAGGATGTAAGATTTGTGGTGTGCTTTGGGATAAAAGTTATGCAGAAAAGCCATTAATCTAGCTGTTACAAACCTATAAATCCATAGAAACAAATGTATCCTGATGCTGTACTCTAGTGCTACTTTCAATGCATAGAAGGTCTACCTTAACATTAACATAGCTCCAACATTGTTTTGATTTGAATCTGCAGCACATTTACAGAAATTAAGACCAACCGCGTAATAATATTATGCAACATTTAATGAATCTTATGTATGTGCTGATGAAAATTCACTGCTTTAAACTGAAATTGAATAACATTTTTTATGTGGAGATGAATTTTAAATTATCTCACAAAATTTTTTTTACCTACTTACTAACTGTAAGGTTTTTACATTGTTCTGGCAGTGGAACAGTGGGAATTAGGGCTGGGTGATATGACTTCAAATCAATATCACGATAAATTGGGCAGTTTTACCTCAGTAACGATAAATGCATGATAAATGCTCTGGCTCCTCTATCAGAAATAAAGGCATGTGCAGGCAATGCAACTGATTTATAATTTTTTTATTTACATACACACCTGTTTGCACATTTGAAACCTTCCCCAAAGAACAATTTGGCTTGCTCTGGATAAGCGGACTGAATTTTTCAGAGGTTTCTGTTACTTTCAAATGTTTGTGTAGCCATCCTAAATGCCTGAATTACTCCATTATTACTACTTCTTTGCCTTAGTCCTCAATGTCTGAAAAGTTTATTTTTTCAGTCAATCCTATCTTTATTCTGTCAGCTGGGAAAATAGACCCCGTGTCTAAGATTAATGCAAACATAATATAACTGTTCTCATGTAAGGACATCTTTTTGTTTTTTTAAACTACTTGTATCATTACAGGTTCTAGTTATTAAAATTATTAGGTAGTACAGATCCCATGTAGCTTGGAGAATAGAAAAACAAAATCCAAACAAAAGCCTGGAAGGTTGAGATGAAAAACATTTTCGATAGATTTAGTCTCATTTTCATGTTTCTCTATAGCGTTCTAGTTTAGGTTTATGATACAGTAGTAAAGGTTTTTGCTTTTTTCTGGCCCCCCACTTTAAAAAGCTAAACAGCAGAAATACAAAACAGCAAAAAAACTATAACTCCTTTTTTCATCAAAATGAGCATGTGTTCCTTTTTTGTGCCACAGAAGTAATGAATTATTGAGTGGACTGGTAACCTTCAGTTAAAATTCCCCTGTAAAAGCTTCCTTATCATCATTGGCGGATGGAAGCTTTCAAATGAGTGCCATAGTTTTGCTTATCTGTGTATCGTTTTGTGTGTGTGTGTGTCTGCAGTCATTAAGAGTTGGCAGTCAGCTTGCATTGCTGATGCTGTCAACCTTGTCCACGATGGCTGGAACACAGTCCCTGAGCTCATTTTTATGACACACACCACTTCTTTGCAAAGGTGTGTGTGTATTGTCATACGCTGTTAAACACATGCATCACAATTTAAGTTGGCAGGAGCTTCTGACTGAGGTTAAGGGTTTTGACAGCTGGCTCTTTTACTCTCTTCCATATCCTGTTTGTCTGACCACATTCTATTTTTCTCTTTACGTCGTTTAACTAAACGCTGAAATTCGTTTTTAAATATCTTTTGAACGAGTGTTGAAACTTCTATTTATCAACCTCAGAATGAGGAACAGGGTTCTGTGGGGTGTACTAACAATGTTGGTGCAGTACATTCATGGATTTCTTCTGATTCTGGTTTAACAGGCGATCTCTCAGAGACCTGGATTGGTCAAGGATCCTCATTGTTGGCTTTCTGAGACAAAGGTACTCACTCATGCAGTGCAGATGCTTCTTTATCATTCTTATTTCAATATACTCTCTATTTTTCATTTTGTTTGCAAATTAAATAAAGTACCAAGTATATAAACTGTGCTCAAATAGTCTTTATTAGGCATTCACCAATATTGAAATGTGGACTGATGGCTAAAACTTTGAGTACCAATAAAATACATTAAGCTACAAGCTTGTACAGTTCATGTAAATTATATGGAGTATGCCATCAGTGTTCTGGGTTGCTGCACAATGGAATGTCCTTTTTAAAATGTGTTATGGTGCTTATAAAAATGGACTATCCACCTTCCATTAAGGACTTAGAGTAACAGATTGGTTCAAAGTTTTCTATCAACCAGCTGATTGCAGGCAGACTGGGGTTCAAGGAGACAGAAGCAGACATACAGCAAAAGAAGAGATACAAAAGGCAACTATCAACCAGCTTCACAAGCGGTCCTGTCCAGGAAACACAGCCAGGCAGCCAGCTCCCATGCCAGAGGATGAAAGAGAGCACATCCAGCAAGTTACAGTCAGGACTACACTGAAAAACAGGCAAAGCTCCATCATCTATAAACAAACATGTTGATGGCAGCAGCACAGCTGATATTTCTCTCCAGGATGGTGTCACAGCCAAACAGGAACAGACGAGGCAAAGCTACTATGAAAAACAGCAGAGAGAGCATAACCTTAGAGATTGAACTAACAAATACTGGAAAATGGGAGAATATAGATGGAATGAAGCAGAATGATGAAAAGGGGGTCCCTATGTCCTCCAGCAGTCTAAGCCTATAGCGGCATAACTATAGACATAGTTCAGGATAAACTGAGCCACTCTAAATATAAGCTTAATCAAAAAGGAAAGTTTTAAGCCTACCCTTAAAAGTAGACCGGGGGGTCTGCCTCACGGACTAAAACTGGTAGTTGGTTCCACAGGAAAGGAGCCTGATAACTAAAAGATCTGCCTCCCACTCGACTAAGAGAGCTTCGCCTCAGCGATTATGTAACTCCACTTTCCCGGTTAGGAGCTTCAAAGTAAATCAAACGCACTATAAGGGCACTTATTGCAGAATTAAACAATTTCTCCATAAAGATATCGAACTCTGCACAGCTATATAAAGATAACGCCCCTAAGGTATGATTATTACAATTCGTCTGCAAAAAAAACATGGGCTTAGTTACTCTTTAGCAATATCAGGACAAGAAAAAGGGAAAACAGTTTAATATGAAGTATTCATAAAGTTTATTAATATATAAAATCTTTAAAAAAAGACAAGAAAATGAATCGATTGAGACATATTAATCAATTAGCCTTTTGAGCTGTGATCCTGAAAACCCCCTGATCCCATTAAGCCAGTACTGAGTCGGTATGCATTCAATACTATAAAATGCTAATTTTTTTCTTTATTTGCTACAAATTAATTCTTCATCAAGCAGAGACTGTTTATTTGAATATAGTCCACATTTAATTCAGTTTATTTATAGAGTACCAATTTCCAACGCATGCCATCTTAAGGTACTTTCCAGAAACAATTCAGTCAGATTAGTTCAAAGTTTTCTATCTAAGGAAACCCATTTAGATGAAATTGTAATAAACATACACCATCAAGGATTTTGATGTTGATGTTTTAATTGTTGTTCCAAATGTCTTTCATCAACTCATTAAAATTTAACACAGGATCTTTAATCTTTGTTTCAGTAAAATGGTACAGCCTAATGAGGGCTTTTTGAGTAGTTCAGTTAGACCCGTTGAGTTTGCATTGGTCACCCAGACCAGATCTTTGAAAAGCTGATTTAAAGTTAGTGTTTAAGCTGGTCAAACAATCAGGGCTTCGGTTCAGAGCTGTGAGAGTGTTGCTTTTACTGCTGCTAAAAAGAAATAAAAAATAAAACACTTTCAGAATTTTGTCTCCAAAATCTCTGCTAAATCCCACCTCAACCTCCCCATAGGCTTTTAAATGTTTATTTTTTATTGAACATCATAGTTTTTCATAAACCTTTCATATAAAATTAGGTGAGTACATTGCATAGTTTTACCCAAAGCAGAATTACGAGAGGTCGGTTTAAAATTAGGCTGATAAAAGAGGAGAAAGAGAAAAGAAAAACCATCAGGAAGTGTTGAATTTTCAGGCGTTAAAATGGCATGATCATTTGTCCAATTAACACAATGCTACTGTGTACCTGCACACTATATGCCAAAATGTCCATTCTACTCTGATTGTTTACAGCAGTTTATATAGAAGAGTATCTGGTGCCTTTGCCTATTATTCTTTGCAAAAAAAAAAAAAAAACTCAGACTCCAGTTAGAGGTGATATAGGGTATAAAAGAGGGATAACTTCAAGTCTTCCTACAGATTGTCATCTGGCTGATGACGATCTGATTTCAACACAGAATTGGACTTTGATTTAAAACATTCTAATTGACATTTAAAGATTTAAAGATGGTTTCCCACTGGAGTGTGTACGTATAATTGATCATATTTTTTACAGGAACAATCTAATTTATGTTCATGCATATTGGATTGTTGGTTATTCAAACTCAAACAATTTGAGGTCTCAAGCCATAGTTTGTGATATTGCATTAAAACACAAAATGTTTAGGATTCTCCAGATTTTGTGTTTCAAGGAAATTAAAACCAGCCCGATCATTTGTTTACTCATCTAAAGATTACATTTGACTTAAAAGCCCCATATTGCATCAGTTATATCAGGACTGTTAAATCTGTCCTCTTATTTTTCATTTTTCCTGTGTCTTTCCGAAACGAACCAGATTAAACTGCGCTGGCTGTGTGAGGAAGTGCAAGAGCGCGACATGAAGGATCGCCGCCTTAGGAAGCAACACCAGCAAACCAGAGACCAGCTGAAGGCTCTCAGGCAGAGCCTGGATCAACAGGAGAAGCTGTTGCTCTCCCACAGCACTGAGAAGAAAGGTAGTGCCTTATTAAACAAAAAAAAACACCCTTATGATGACTTTGTTCTCACTTGATGCGCTAAGCGATAAATCAGTCTGCTGAGCTAGCGATAGTGGGAAAGAGAGGCGACTATTTAACCTGCACAGCCAGCTTTAAATCACAGACTCCAGCAGCTGAACTCTTTGACTCAGCTGAGTCAGACTCACATCTCTTTATCTTGTCACAGCGTCTCTATGAGCAATAATCCCTTTAATTGGACGCCTTTTGTCACTGTTTTGTTTGCATTGGCACTTAGAGAATCCTGTCTGTGCCCTCCATGAACTTAAAACTTTCATTTTCTCACTTTGTATACACTTCTGTTTCTCCACCATTATAAATGTGTGAGAAAGCATCCTAATCATTTTCTGCTGCAGTCGTCTTCAGTAAACAATCGTGTTTTTCTATCTAACGGTTCCATTTCTAACTGTTTTCCTAATGAGCTGTAACTGACATTGAGGCCTCTATTTGCTTTTCTGCGAAACAGCGACGGAAAATGGTTGTTGGATTAACAAAAGAGGTAAAAGACGCAGTGAGAGCGAGGTAAAGATGGAAAGCTTTTATTAAAGCAGTTGACTCACTTTTATGCTGTTTTGTAGCGATGTTATAAAAATCAAATCGTTCCAAATAAATCCTATTCCTGGTCCCCATTTATAGCTCTCTCTCACAGCCAGTAATTAAACACTTGCTGTTTACACCCACAAAACATATGCTTCTAATAATAAGGGCTAAAAGATGCTCTGTTTAACATGATTTCTCTGCAAAGCTCAATTTAAATACTGTTTGATCGCTACAAAGCTAAAACTATTCCCCTTCCATGCCCTTCTGCTATCATGAACAAGCATGCTGAAACATTCATTGCACGGGGAATGCATTCACAGCACTACAGGGATTGTAGAGGGAAAGATAAATGCAGCAATGCTCAGAGACATCCTGGAGGAAAACCTGCTCCAGAGCGCTCCTGACCTCAGACTGGCTATAGTTATTTTTTTAGGGCATCTACATAAAGCACACAGCTTAGACCTCAAAGGAGTGGCTTTAAGAGTCTGATTAAAACTGGAGAGATCTGAAAATGATTGCACGGGTTTTTATGATGCAATCTGATGGAGCTAAGATGTACTGCAAATGAAATGAGCCAAACTAGGAAAAGACCGGTGTGCTAAGCCTGTGGCATCATTGTCTAAAGGACAGGGGGCTGTAACTGCTGCTGTAAAGAGTTTTACCATATTGACATAATGGAAGAAAGTTTAACACCATTTGGTATAATACAGTAACATAAATATGTTCATAAATGAATGTTACACCTTTTGCATGTCCCAAATTTCAATTATTTAATCTTTAAGACAGTTTCTTTGTTTGCATTCAGTTTTAGGGCTTAAATCTGCAGGTAGCAGGTTGCAATGGTTTCGCACTAGTTCTAGAAGAAGCATTTAACAGAAACAAGAGCTTAACACCAGTATGTTGCTGCATTATTATTGCCCTTCCTGTCAGTTACAGGTGGATTTTTTTTGTTGGACAGGAGAGGCTTTTCTGCTGGTCTTCTGGCCTAAACAGTCTTTACACCCTCTAATGCTGACATAAAACTCGCACTGGTGACATCATGATACTTTAGGAGATGTCGTAAAGTGAGGTGATCTTACTAATGGCTGGACACCCCTCGGCTCCCCACTGGAAAAATGATCTAGAAATAAGTAAAAATGTCTTAAATTAAGTGTATTTACCCTTATTTTGAGTAGGTAAATCAGATAGTTTGCCAATGAGATGAGTATTTTCACTCTTAGAATAAGATAATTAGATAATATGCCCTTGAAATAAGACAATTCAATTGTTTTTTCCTTATTTTAAATGTGATTTGTCTCGTTCCATTGGCAAAATGTCTCACTTTCCTCCTCAATTCAAGAATAAATGCACCTATTTTAAGAAATTATGTAGATTTAATTTTTTTACAGTGCCTGGATCCATTTTTTTATCCTTTCACTTTGAATATAATATAAACATGAAAAAATAACATTTGCATATCTAAAACGCTTTTCGAAGCCAGGCAGTGATCAGTGCATCTATATTTTGAGTTATCCTCTGAAAAATTGCCTTAATGATTTTACTGGTCTGAAAATAAATGAAAAGAAAATGTATAACCTGAAGATATTGCTTCTTTTTCAAAGAGAAATAAAATAAATGCCAGGTTTGATTAATAAATGCCAGCATTACGATATAAGTGTGTAATATTAAAACTGATGTGGATGCAATATTTTGTTAGGAAAATACATTTCACATGCAGCTCCCTTTAGAAAATCACAGACAGACATTTGGACTCCAGAGAACAGTGGTTATTATTCTCTGTGCTACCTTCTCAAAAACAGAGAACACATAATTACCTTTAAAAGAAAAGGAGGGCTTCTGCAGTTGTTTTTAGTGTTTTTTTATATTTGCTTCATTGAATATAAAATGTTACTTTAAGAACAAATCGTGTCCTGGTGAATTCATTATTTAGCTGTAGTTTAGTTAGCAATTATTGCTAATTAGGTTCTGAGCTCATGTTGAAAAGTCTGTTCAAGGTCAAAAAGAATAATGATAATAATTCAAGAAATGGATGAAAAGAATTGTTAACAGATTTAAACATTGAAAATCAGATGCCAGAGGTTGAAATATTCGCACTGAAAAGAGAAAAACCAACCTGGTCTCTTCTATTTTCACAACACTGAGATGTTTAGGTCGAATAAAAGAAAAGAGGAAAAAGGCTGTGATGATTTTTTTTTTCTCTAAATCTGGCCGCATGAACCAACAACATGAGGCCATCAGGCTTCGTTACCATGGGAACATATATAGATAGTTTAGCTATGTCTAGATATACAAATCGAACCTAATGGCTTAAGAAACAACATGAACTCTATGCAGTTACCTTTCTGTCACCTGTGATGGAAGGGTTGGATGTGGGGGAAGCAAAGAACTCTAGTAAATGAGCAGCCTGTACTCTGAGTTCATAAAGCAAAGCCTGGATTTGAGGTACAGCGAACATGGATGTGACAGCTCTGCTTATCAACAGCAGGATCTTATCTGACGCAATCTCCTCGTTTGCAGAGCTGCTGGAGAGAAGTCGCAGGAAGGAGGAAGAAATGAGAAGCCTTCAGGTCAGATTCGTGTATTTTCATTAATCTGTTTGTTTTACCCCCTTTCTACTTTAAGAGAGAGACAATACACTTTCCCTTTGTCTTTTCAGCATGTCAGCTGTTTGTTTTTGGAAGAATCCGATTTCTCTGATGCTGTTCCCGACATTATTGCACAGCTGTGAGGCTGGCAGTGTCCTCCAGGGCTTGCTTGAGCAAATAGCTAATTACTGCAGACACAAGGCCTTGGAGTTTAAAAGTCACTAAAGGCCTTGTCATTTTTTTTTTCTTCTCCACTTGGCAGGCCACCTACTCACCTAAGCCGGAGTGGACTGGCCCCCAGTGCTTCACAGGCGCTTTTACACCCTATTAAAATGCAAAGCAGATGTGTATACGCACATAAACACACTAAACGATGAAAGGATGATTTACATGTGAAGAGGCAGAAAACGGAAAGCACGAGGGACACGGACGAGTTAAAAAGAAGATGGTGATAAAGGGATGGGAGGGAAAAAAAAGGACCCTTGTTATAAACCATCAACACATTGCAGGCAGAGGGAGAGAGGCAGCCTGCTGCAGGGAGAAGCAGGTGTGCGGTTGAGTGGCAGATAAGAGGCAGAGCATCACTTATGCATCGTTAGCGAGGGAACATCAGTCAGGAGCTGGAGGAGAGGATGGAGCATTTTGTCTTTGTGAGCGTGATAAGAAGTCTGTTGTGTGCTACAGACTCTCCCTAGGCACGGCGTTTACTTTCCTTGTTATGTTAGAACACCCTATTCCTCTCTTCTTTCAGGGTTTGTTTTTTTTTTCACCATCACATGCATCAGTTGAGTTTCTTTCTTCCAACTCGTCCTTAGCTTTTACCTGGACCCACAAATTTGATTCTTTTTTTTTTTAACTCCACTCATGCACATTTAGGTTTAGTTTCCTCTTGAATCCTGATCTATTGTGTTTTATCCTTCTTTTAGGATCGTGTGTTGGATCTGGAGATGGTAAGCTTTGATCTATTGTAGGATAGTATCTTTGGAAGTTCAGTTGAGGATTTTGTTTTTTTATTAAATTATCTTTTTGAAATAAAATCATTTAAGCTGGTGAAAAGATGAAACTTTTCCATACTAGAATTATCCTTTTATTTATTTATTTTTTAAATCAGAGGATCTTCAGACAGTTTTTGAAGCTTATGTATAAACGTACAGGATGTTCTGTTGTGTATTTCTTAGGGGATTTCATGGTACTACTGTGCTTTCACCAGTAAGTAGGTTCATGCTGCAGACAAAATCAGTTTTAGCTCTGCATTCACAGTCACATACAGTAGAAACGCCATACAGCTTTATGAACATGCAAAAGTTGCACGTTATGTGCATACCTTTATTGCATTTTCATGGAAATGCATCAACACCAGTGAGCTTACTGTGCGTCTTACATGAAATCCTGACCTTTATACCTGTTGATCTATCTCCATCGAGTGAACTTCAAGCTTTTTTCTGCTAACTTTTCCAATGCATCATCTCATTTTAGTTTAATGCCGTGTTCCATTTGTCTTTCAACTTTCCAGTCAGATATTTCAACTATAACGCCCTTCAAAGCCTGAATTATGATATAAAAAGTCAGTACAAAGGCACCATACCCAATTTCTGCATTCATGATGGATGCTACTCGCATTAACAATAGTTAAACTGTCTTACCTTTAATGTTTGTAGCAGTTATTATGTGTTTGGTCTCAAGTTAAGTTGTTCTACTTTATTAGACGATATATTTTAATGCTGTCTTCTTGCAGAATACTTCCTAGAACAGTGTTTTTTATCATTGTTATGGTTTTAACAATCAGTAGTGGCCATGGAGAAAACAAGGGTCCACAAGCAGGAGCTGGAATGCATTTATCTCAGAGATTATGTTGCTCCAACTTGGAAGTTTCAAGTTCCAAAAAAAGATGGAGCAGACTATAAGCTCTTCAAATGTATTTTATTCTTAATGAAATGGGATTTTATTATCTAATTTTCTTATCAGAAAAAAAAAATTATCTTCTTAAAATGAAATCTCATAGACACTATTTGGGACCACAGTTGATTTTGTTTTATCATATTGCTAACATTAGAGACTAGGCTTAGGTTATTTTTCTCCTTACTTTTGAGATAGTGATGTTTTAGCCTCCTTTTCCTCCTCCCTTTTTAATAAATGTGTTTTACATGATGTCAGGATAGCTTATAGGGGTGTAAATCACATCCATCATGGGGATTTGATTCAGTATCGATTGCCTGACCCAACGATTCGATTACTTTCGATACTCAAGAATACAACACGATACGATTCGATTAATTGGTAAAAAAAATTTTTTTTTAACACCTTACAGGCTAGACAAGGTTTCAAATTTGAAATATATCAATGAAAGCTGTAGTATCGTTATGCATTTTTTTGAGAACAACAGCAAATAACAGAAGTAGAAAAGTTTCATCAAAAAATACTGCACATAATCAGTGCAATGAATACAACTCAATACCTCTGCTCCAGACGTCCCCGGCTCCTCCAAAGACGCTCCGCTGCACCTCTCGCAAATTGTAGCTGACCGCAAACAGTGCTGCAGACAGGAGGACTGCTTGTTTTGTTTTTATGACCGAAATTACGGAAAACAACTGGTGAAGTTTTAACCGCTAGAAGAGCGAGGTGCACGAGAACGCTGGGACCCTTTTTCCACCTGGATCTCCGCTCTTTTTGGCCCTCATGTCCCTCGGTCGTTGGACTTAACTCGCCCCCACTTCCTCGCCGCCTCTGCAGTATTCCACAGTGTGTAGCACAGACCATGCTTCAATATTGAGCATAATCAAAAATGTCTGTGTCAAGCTTACTGCGACACACTGCTGTAAGAGTATAACCAGGAAGCGAGGTAGGAGGGCAAAATAGGTTTAGCGCCACTGCTGCAGGGGAGGGAGAATTACGGCAAGGAGCAAATGGATAAAAATAGAACGAAGGGAAAAAAAACATGAATCGATACTCTTGCAGACGTATCGATTCATGTTCATGTCTCGACCTAATAGCTTAGGCTTGTTTACATCATTAACAGTTGATCTTCAACAACAGAGAGATCCATCTGGAGATCATCTGCATAGCAGTGGAAGGTTAGGTTGTGCTTGGCAGGAATAGATCGCACAGCGTCATGTAAAGGAAGAACAATAATGGACCCTGGATGGAGCCTTGGGGTACTCCATATAATTTGGGGGGGATAATAGTGGAGGATAAATCAGCCATCATTACAGGAAAAATTCTACTTGACAGGTACCATTCGAAACCATTTCAGTGCAGTGCCCTGAATACCAACGCTTTTGGTGTCACCAGCATCTCCATATCTCTCCAAATGTGCCAAATGCTTTTACTATGCTTTGCTTTACTATTTGACCCATATAATAACACTGAAGCATTTTGATGGCCACAAAATATAAAGCAAGTGTTTCCCACTTTTGCTCAGAATCAGTCTATATAACAAAATGTAATATTTTTACAGCTACGATTACATAAAAAATCTATAAAAAAAATTAGTGAAACTGCTGCCTTTTAAGCTAAAATAAGCGCCAGTGCCTTTTCTGAGCTGTATTTATTTATTTTTTTCAGCCTTAGGCATTGTAATAAAACAAAATCAGCGTCCAAAATGTAAAAAATATAGGACTGTTGTTATTACTCAGCTTGAAGCTGAGCCAGTAACACGGATCCCCTTTATATAACCTTGCTATGTGTAGGCTTGTTTGAAACCTTTTTCATTGGCTACAAAGCCCAACAGCCCACATGGTCTGAACCAATAACAGCACGACTCTATGAGGCTTAATATCATACATCACAGGCTGACAGGAAATTACCAGAAGTGAGATTTCAGCTACTGTATCTGGCTGTAAAGAAGCATACCAAACATCACTGGCTAACAACTGAGGGAATAAATATGAGAAAGTAAATATTAGCAAGATACTGAACATTAGCTATGATCAGCTAACTTTTCTGATTATGGGTGATTTTCTCATGATAGAATATTTTTATTACAAATATGCTGGATTACTTTTAATCTGTGGACCCTTATGGACGAATGGAGTATAAACAATTGAAGATTGGATTTATATAATGGCTTCTGGATGCCTTCAAAGCTATGTTGTTGTCGCTGCTTTGTCGTGTTTACATTTTGACATGGTACTATATCTGTGTTAATTGTGCTTTGGCGCTCGCTATGTCCATAAAATGAACTTGGCGCGTGGATTGCGGAGAATCTAAGCTTTCCAATGATGTCTAACATGTCTATATTGGTAAACATTTTAGCGGTGTAATTTTCATGCATTCTGAGTTATTAGTTGTAAACTCTTTAAAACGGGTCGCTGGTGACCTGGAGGGTTTCTAGAGGTTTAGTGTATTACATATGCACTAAAATGAGCCTGATTTCATGAGTATGTTATGCATTAATCAGCTGTGGAGCCCACTCTTGACCGCGGTCTCCCCTCTGCTACCTGTAAGCCTCTAAGAGAAATCCCCAATGAAGTTTGAACCTTTGTCTATTAAGATAAGAGGTGAGAAAGTAGAGCCCTGATTGGATAACCGCCAAAATATGTCACTTCCAGTAAGGCACAACCTTTGAGGGGGTCTATGGAAAGCTGGCCGGCAAACATACATAAGGATTTTTGACCGACAGTGGCCAGACAGCGAGGATGTTCTCCTCATGAGTCCAGAGGAAAAACTTAAAATTCAGTCAGAACAGCCATCTTGCCGTGGTTACCGGACTTTATCATTTCAGAGCATGATCAAACTATCCATTAATCAATAGATAGAGTTCTGTTTGAAAGTTTACATAACCTTCCTTTAAAGGCAGAGAAAGATCAGCTGCCAGTAAAATGAATCAAAAATGACAAAAGCGATAGTAAATAACACAATAAAAAAAACAGAAATCATGAGTTTGATTTTTAATATCATATTTATATAAATATAATTTAGTATCACTACCCATAGAGACTGACACGCCGTTTGAAATTATTGTTTTAGTCAACGATCAGAGGCTCTGTTAATCATTACAAGTCATGCTGATGGTGTCCAGAATTGAGCCTTGCTGACAGTTTGGTATTGATCCCACCATCCACACTATTAATGGCCTCCACCAACATCCTTAATCTGCAATTAGACGTCAGACAGAAATTCATTTGCACTAATTAAAGGTTGCATTGACTCATGCACTTTTAACTGCCCTAAAAATAACTAAATAAATGTCTGAACCTGTGTAAGACTCACTGACCATCAGTCATAGTTGTGTGCTATGCTTGTCAGCCTCCGCCTTTAGTTAGCTGCTTCAAAAAAGAGGAGATGTCTTGGACCTCCATACGCTCTCAAATTTTCTGCCATCAGCAGGGCACATCGACCCATTCCCCACTCAGCCTCGGCGCCGAGGATCACCCAGCAAATCTTACTAATATGTCAGCGTGCCATTCAGCATGACAGTCAGTGATGCCTCCTAACAACCAGCTCCTTTGCTGCGTAATCACTCCAAACCCTGAGTGGAGACAGGACAGCTTCTGAAACTAACTGCGGGGAATGACAGTGCAGCTAGATTACTCTCCTGATGGAGAAATAAGTTTGTGCTGAGTAAGTTGAGACCAAAATCCTTGATTGCATTTTGAATCGATCAGGCAGCGTGCATTCTATCAAACGCACTATGTAGTTATTACTGCAAGTTTGGTGTACGGCTGAGTTTCTGAAAAAAATAGAAAATATTCTGCAGCAGTTTCATTTAAGATAAAAATTATGGCTATGGAAAAATATTTCTCTGAATATGAATTAGTCAGATGCCAATGTTTTAGTGGAATATCTTTACCATGAGGCTTTTATTTGAAATTTAAAGTGCCTTTATCATGCAAAATTATTATTTTTGTAGCTTTTAACTGTTTTATAA